CCCCCTATCCTTTCAAACAGATAAGGCTGCATGTAAGTGGTGAATATCCTCATTTGCATCCGCCTTTCCAAAAGCAGCTTCACCAAGGAAACCACAGTGGAAACCTGGAGGCCCCTTTTGCTCTCTCAGCCCTTGATGAAGAGCTAGAGTCAGGGTTGCTGAGCTTGCAAGGTGACTGGGTGACCGGTGACTTGTTGTCAGAACACTTAGCAGGTAGCTCTTGGCCTTCCCTTGCTCTTGCAGCCAGTGCTGTGTTCTTGATTCCTCAACAATGACCAGCTTTTAGAGGAGGAGAAGGTGAGTTTTATAGGAAAATGGGACACAGAAGTGCTCTCCTAGCTGGCCAGACCTTTCTGTCAGCATCCTTCTAAGAGAAAAGTGGCTGCTTGGGTTACACAAGGGGTGGAGCCACCACACATTCCTGAGCTAAAATAGCATTTACGACCCAGAGTTTGTGGTTCTGAGCTGGAACCTGAAACCTTTCTGTGGAGCTGTTATCCAGTAATTTCAGAACATCACGCGCTGCATCCCTGGAATTTACTTGATTCCCTGAACCAAACATATATATGTGAGAGACGAGTGCAAAGCCAGAATGCCCAGAGAATTTTTCTAATTCCCACTGCAGATCTAGAGATGCCTTTTGGTTTTGACTACATCCATCTGACAAGGCAGCTGGTTCATAAATACTCTCTGGCCATGGGAATGGACTCCAATTTACGAATCCCTGTTGCCCACACTCTGGGGACCCAGCCTAAAGCCAGGAAGGCAGGCCTCATTAGGGCCAGCTTCCATGGTGGCTCACAGGTCCTACTCACCCGACCTCTTCTGCCCTCTAAGGAGAGAAGATGTGCTGCAGATGGGCTTAGGTCAGTGCAGACTAGTGCTGAAGAAATGGGGCGCATTTAGAAAAACCTGAGTGCCATAGTAGGACCTGATCCTGCCCTGGGATTTGGAGTGTGGGATGTGGCGCTGGGTTCCAATCCTGAACATCATTAAATACTCAGAAGTTCTGATTTTACTTGGATTTTTCAACACCTCCCATTTCACTTTCCTGGTTTTTGAAAAAAATGTACTTATGACATCTGTTGAAGATTATGCATATTTCAAGATTTCTTTATCTAAGGTCAGCAGAGTTTTAAGGCCTCTATTATGCTGTGTTCCTAAATGCTTCCCCCAACTTGATATTATCTTGTGTATATGTTCTGATTTTTATTTTTAAAACAGCTTTTGTGTACATTAATCCACTTGAACCTTACATCAAACCTAGGATAATGATTCTTAGGCATTTTAGTCTCTAGATTCTGCTCTCTTTTTAATATCTATTTATAATGTCTTGTTGACAGACTCTGCCACTGTGCTCCTCTGTACATTTTGTTTTCACATGCAATCTCCCCACCCCCATACTGTGGATTGAACTCAAGCCTGCTCTACCACTGAGCTGCACTGTCGGCCTTTTTTATTTGAGACACCCTTGCCAAGTTGCTGAGGCTGGCCTTGAACTTGCTATCCTCCTGCCTCAGCCTCCCAGGTAGCTGTGATTCTAGATGTGTGCCACCAACCTGACTACATGGAATTTGCATTTTTGTGCTGAATCAGAATCACCAGCAAGTCCTACAGAAAACTGACTATGTGATATATATATATGTATGTACTGCATATATATGTACTGGATGATTTTTGTGCTTGGTAAAATTACAGTGATGATAATTTCAGTGCAGTTAATAAAGCTAACCCTTAATTCTCCAAAAAAAAAGAAAAAGAAAATTTAAAAATGATAAGGTTATGAGAGTATCAACCTAAACAGTGTATTAGTCCACTTGAATGGATTAAATGAATGGTAACTCTAGGCAGCTAAGGTCTGGCTGGAGGAGGTGGGTCACTGGGAGTGTGCCTTTGGAGTTTGTATTTTGTCCCTGTGAGTGGAGCTCTTTCTTCTTTCTGGTGGCTATGTCTTGAACTGTTTTCCTCTTGCACATGTTTCTGACATGATGTTCTGCCTCATCTCTGGCCCACATAAATGAAGTTGGCCATCTACGGACAAAGGCCTCTGATACCATGAGCGCCAAATAAACTTTTTCTTCTCTAAAATTGTTCTTGTCAGATCTTTTGGTCACAGTGATTAAAAGCTTATGACAAAAAAAATAGAGATACAATATATTAAAATCTCTGAGACAGAATGAGGGAAGTTCTAAGAGGAAAGTTTTGAGCACTGAGTCCTACATTAAAAAAATAGATACCAAATAAATAATCTAAGATTATACCTCAAGGCCCTAGAAAAAGAACAAGCTAAAAATTAGTAGAAAACAAAAAATAATTAAAATCAGAGTAGAAATAAAGAAAATTGAGACTAAGAAGTAATAAATATGATCAGTGCAATAAAGAGTTGATTCTTTGAAATGATAAACAAGAAGGATAAAGTCATAGCCAAACTAATCAAAAGAAAGAGAGAGATGACCCAGATTAACAAAGCTACTAATGCAAAAGGAGATATCACGATAGACACTACTGGAATCCAGAAGATCATTGGAAACTATTTTGAAAATGTATACTCCATTAAGCTGGAAGATGTCAAAGACAGTGACAAATTCCTAGAGACATATGACCTACCCAAATTGAACCACAGAATGTAAAAAACTTAAGTAGACCAATATGAAGTCATGAAAATGAAACAGCTATTAAGTCTTGGAACAATGGAACATCTATGACCATATGAATCCTTAGCTGGGATCCGTCAGACCTTTAAAGAAGAAGTAATGTAATACTCCTCAAATTTAATTCCATGAAATAGGAGAGAACAATACCAATTCATTCTGTGAAGCCCAGTATTATCCTAATAGCAAAACCAGACAAAGGCACATCAAGAAAAGAAAGTTTCAGACCAATATCCCTGATGAACATAGATGCAAAAATTCTTACCAAACCACACTAAAAAAAAAAATCAAGAAGATAGTGTGTATCCTGATAAAGTGGGTTTCATCCCAATTATTCAAGGTGTGTTCAAAATATGTCAATAAATAAATGTAATTCAGCACAAAAGAGAGTTAAATAAAAAAATTACATGGTTATCTCAATAGATTCAGAAAAAGTATTAGACAAAATCTACTACCCATTTATGTTTAAAACACCAGAAAATAAAGGATCAAAGGAAGTTGCCTCAACATTTTAAAGGACATCTATTTCTCAACAGTGAGAAACTTGACTGCCACCTTTCATCTTTCATTTATTTGACTTTACAATTCCAATATACCTGAATAATCTTTTGATTTATTTTTAAATTCTGCTAGCTTACCAATATTCAACTTAAATAACAGATTGTTAGCATTAACAGACAAATGTAAAAATCACAAATTTTTATTTTCACACTTAATTTTAAAAAATTCTTCATTCCTGACATATCTGCTTCAGTGTATGTCAAACAGTTGGCAAACTATAGAAAGGCAAACTTAGTGTCAGTATGATGGTCATCATGAGAGAAAATTTTACTCACATAGATGAATTTTTTACATCTATAGACAATTTACACTGTACTAATTAGTCAGAAATATTAATATTTAAGGAATTCAAAATTAAAAAGCTATAAAATATTTTCCATGATACTATAAGACAAAATAAAACTTACTACAATAAGGATATTTCTGTATTGGTAGGCATTTAATTAAAATCATTTATTATCTTTTGAGCAATGGGAAAAAATGTGTACTATGAAACCCCTAACCAAAAGAAAGCTCAAGAAGGTCTAATAATATGAAAGAAAAAGAACCTCAAAACAGAACTATGTGAGGTAGCACATTACCTGATGAAAAGAACAATTCCGTAAGTCTTAACAATCCTAAATTTGCATGTTCTCCCAAATTTTTTTAAAGTATATGAACACATAAAATGATAGATCAATAAGCAAAATACTTAAAACCCAACGACAAAGATGAAGATTTCAATAGCACTTGTTTAATAATTAATAGAAAATTTACACAGAAATTCAACAATCCATAGATGATAATCTTTATGAAATAATCAGAGAACTTGAACTAATTGACATTTTCAGAACAAAATCCCACCAAAAACAAAAACAGCACTTCTTAAATGCACACAGAATATTCAATAATGTAGACAACAGGCAAAACAAACATCAAAATGTATAACTGTTGATATCATACAAATTTTGTGTTCAATATCAATGGGGCTTGGGTAAATAGCTCAGTGGTACAGCACTCAGTCGCATACTTAAAGCACTGGGTCCATTCCTGGGCAACATGTACACACACACACACACACACACACACACACGAGAAAGAGACAAATAATGTAGAACATCCCTAATATTTGGCAATCAAACAGCAGAACTCTAAATAATCCAGGAGTCAAAGATACAAATAGAATTTTTAAACACTAGATAGCTGATATAGGTAAATTCTATGGAGTGCATTTATTCAGTGTTGAGAGGAACATGGGTAGCATTAATTGTTTCTATTAGAAAAAAATAGTTTCAAAATAATTATCCAGAGCATTCACATTGAAAAAAAGAAAAAAAATCAATCTATGTCAAAATATAATAAATATTAAACTCAGAATCAGTGAAATAAAAGAAAATGAAGAAAATTCAATGCGAACCTGGATATTAAAAAAAAACCCGTATAATTGATAAATTCCTAACCATACTAATTGAAGAGGGGGGCAAATATTGTCAATATCAGGAATAAAAGCAGAGCACCTTGAATGACCCCATCTATATTAACTCTTAATCCCCAAATTTGACAATTTATTTAAAACAGATAAATTCCTGGAAATAGATTTTATATTAGTCATTTTAAATGAAAAGCAAACTTGAACTGGCAACTCTTCTTCCTCAGTTTCCCAATAATTGGGATTACAGATGTGTGCCACCATGTATTGTCTTTGTCAAATTTTCAAATCAATTTCTTATTTTGAATAAGTAATGTGTGAAATTATATAAAGAAAACGTAATTTTATTTGTATTAATACATATGAGTAAGTATACGTACCTTCCTAAAATTTGATTCCTGTAAGGAAAATATGATTTCCTGCTTGGACTGGCAGGTGGACCCTCCTAAGCAGCCACCTCTGCAGCCAAACAGCTCTTGAGAGCAGGCTCTGCCCGCACTGTCTTCAGCGGCTCCCAGAAGCTCCCACCAATCTCTGGGCACAGACCAGAGTCCAAGTGCACCCTGGGAAACAGGACGTTGGCGTGCGCGACCGGCCCTCTAACGGCTACCGGTCTCTAGACCTCTGGGGTCAAAGCCGTGGGTTCACTGTTATGCTAATGAGGGTTTGTAAAAAGTAGCAAGACGATTGGTTCGAATTTATAAACTGCGCCTGTCACCACGGCCCTTGAGGAGAAACCGGAAGTGAGGGCAGGGCGTGAGTCCCTTTCCGGAGGACCGTTAGCTCAGCCCCCCTCGCGTTCCTCGTGGCTTCCTGAGAGCAGGAGCCCGGCCAGGACCGGGAGCCAATGCCTAGGCTGGAGCGCCACAGGAGCTCGCGCCACCGGAACTGCCGCCGCCGGAGCCGTAGCCGCCACGGAAGCGGCCCGAGCCGCCGCCCACGCTGTCGCAGGAGCCAACACCGCGGGAAACCAGTGCCGCCGCTGCTGTAGCCTTCAGAGCGCAGGAATCTGTAGAGCCAACGCCACGTCGGAGCGATGCTGCAGGAGCACAGGCACCCTGGCAGCCAGTGCCGCCTCCAGAGTGTGGGATCCCCTGGGGCCAGGGCACGAAGCCGCCGCCGCCCCCAGAGCACAGGAACTGTCGGAGCCAACGCCGCGCCAGGAGCAGGAGCCACCTAGGAGGGAACGCGGCTAGAGTCGTCCTTTCCTGGACCCTGGAGACACCTGCCGCCGCCATCCACAGAACACAGGAGCCAAAGCCACTATTGCCGCCTTCAGAGTTCAGGAGCCGGCACCGGCACCTCCGCCTCCAGGAACAGGAGCGCAGCCCTTGCCAGAGCACAAGAGCACAGGAACCACTGAACGCAGGAGCCACTGCCGCCAGAGTTCAGAGCCGCGACGACAGGACCCTAGCCCAAAGGCTGCTGCACCAGGCTTGGCGGTGGTGGCTCCTGCAGCTAAGGCGGGCGCGAGGAAGGACAGCCCGATCACTCCAACCGCGTGATCACCCGCGGATTCCTGTCTTCTCCTCCAGGGGCAGAGACCCTGCAGAAGACTGGAGTGCCTTGAAGAAGGAGGTAGGTGCTGGGACCCACTCAGGAGTGTGCAGGCTCCTTGGGTGGGGGGTGGGGGTGGGCAGTGGCTTCTCTAGAGGTGCCCCGTGGCAGCAGGAGCCACCACAGTAAAAGCCACTCATCCATTGGGGGCATCTACCCCCACAGGTCTGGAGATGTGGCCTGCGAGTTTGGAGGTTGTGGGGCTAGAGGCAAGGAGATACCTCTGGTGTCTGTGAGTTGTGTGAAGGGGCAGATGCGGTGTGAGGATCCCTAGGTGGGGGGCATAACTTAAAATGTCTGGGACCCTGTTTTGTGGAGAAAAGGTGTGTGGGTCTTAGTGATCTTAAAGGAGAGACAAGCTCTTGGGGACAGGCAGGTCTGTTGTGGGGGTGATGTTGAAAGAGGTTGCCAAAAGGATCCTAGCTTGCACCAAAGGGGAGAGGTTCAGTTTGAGGACATAAAGACTCTCTCAGGCATCTCCACATTCTCAGTCCTTGGAGTGATCTCCAGGAGACAGGAGGCCCTCTCCTGAGTGTCCTCCCCCATTTTTAGCCACACAAGAGGATGACAGACATGTTTCTGCTGCTCCTCTGTCCTGGGCCCACCTGGAGCTTATTCTGGCTTCTGGATTCATAGCCAACCAGCTCCCAGGTGCCTGTAGATGTAGGGAGTGTTTATAGTTGTGGGGGCTCAGGGTAGCATTCCCATGTCTGGACCCAGAGTGAGTGGGTGCACACACATGGCTGTGAGGACATGTGGCTGGAGTATGCATATATTAGAAAGTATGTGCATATATGTTTGTGTGTGAACTGTTTTTGTGAGTCGGTATTTGTTTGCTTCATGATGAGTATGTGTGAATGAATAAGGCTATGATTATGTGTGTATATGTGTGTGTGTCATGTGTGTATAACCATTGCCTTGTCAGCCCCCCATCACTCAGTCCGGCATCACCCTGCAGGCATTTTTGCATCTTACAAGTTGTCAGCCCAAGATGATGCATGGTTGTATGTGCATGTGTGTGTGTATGTGTGTATTGGGGGTTGAAGCATGTAGTGGCAGAACCAAATACAACTAGGAATCCCCTCCCTGTGGAGGCAGACAGCCCTCTAGGACAGCCTGGAGACTGGGATCTGTTGCTGCCCTCTGCACAGGGAGCATGGATGTGTATGTGTTGTTTGTATGTGTCTCTGTGTGTGGATTTTACCCTTTTATTTTATGAATCAGCTCCAGGATTGGTTGTACATTCTAGTGTTTTCCAATAAGGAAATTTGCAAGCTATCCAGGATCCCTTGGAATGGCCTAGAGGTTTTCTGATTACCCCTGTTTTATAAGGAAATTGCAGGTTGGTTGAATTCAGAAGGGCAGAATTGAGAAATGGCAGGCAGGAGAGTGTCAGCAAAGCTTCTGGGAGGGCTCTGGCTCATGTCCTGGTTCTAGCTTTGCCACCAGCTCTCTCAGATCTGTGTCCCAGTTTCTTCTCTTCTCTGGGACTCAATTTTCACATGCAGGATGCAGTTGTCCTAATGTCCCAATACAGTTCTTCTCAGTGTAGCTTGGTTTAGAGGACAGGCTATGGTACATGCATTGCACATAGTGACCAGAGGTCTGGGTCACTTTCCTGTGGTCAGACAGGTTTGGGGTTGGAATGAGCCTTCTGTTTGGCTATAGACTGAGGCTTACTCATGCTCAGAGAGATCTGTAGTTGCCCTGCTTGGTGCCTGGGAGGGTCAGGGGCCTAACCTTGCTACATTGGACAGATCTGTTGAACTCTAGATCTGGAATCATCACCAAGTTGCATATTAGTGGTGCTTTCTAAATTCTGCGTTGCTGGGGAATAAGAGTTTCCATTTACCAGTGAATAGTATGTACCATACTCTGAATGTACAGTAGGCTTATGAGGTGGGTAGTTTGAAGTTCAGAGGGGGCAATGACTTGATCAAGATCATCCAGTCAAGAAGGGGAAAATTCAGGAATTACCATCCAGGTCTGACATCAGAGCCAAGCTTTTACTCACCCATCCATACCACAAATGCTTCCGTCCCCTCCTACACAGTGCCACAAACTTGGAATGTGAGGGGGCATATTTTGTGATATATAGATGGGAATCCTGAGGCCTGGAGAGAGTAAGCAATGATTGGAGGACACAGGGCCAGTGGAAGGGAACTGGTTCAGATTTGCAATCTTTGAGCTCTCTTTTGAGCATGGGTTCCCCTAAAGGCTTGGTTTAAAAAAATAATATCTGTGTCCCACAGCAGACCTCCTCCATTTTTTTCCTTTGTTCACTTTCTTGGCAAGGGACATCTCTTCCAATGTCGGAGAGCCAGTTTTCAGTGGGATAGATTTGAAAACACTTGTTTAGAAATCTGAGCACCAAATCAGGTTTTCCCTTTCCCCTTCCTCTGGGTTCAGAGGAGCCATGTCCTTGACTGCCACAGCCTCACCATTTTTTTTTTTTTTTCTGAAAGGGGGGTCTTAATCAGCTTGCAAGCTTGGCCTGAGTCTCTGAATCCACTAAGGAGTTTGTATAGGCTATGAACCTGGAAAATCTGTCCAGTGCTGACCTAGTAAGCCATCAGGTCCCAGGACCAATGAATCAGCACAAGGTACTTCAGCCAGAACTGGGTTCAAATCCTGGAGGCTTTTTAAAAATAGTTTTAGAGGGTTTTGTGTCTGACATGAGCTTTGTACTACAGGTGTAGCAGTGAACCAGACAGGCTCAACCCCTGCCCTCCTGGTGCTGACATTCTCCTGGAAGAGAGACCCTGGCAGATTCTCAAGAATAATTATGACAGTAATTACAGAAGGCACTTGTCACCATAAGAGTACCAAACGTGGATAGTGGTGTAGCTTAGTGTTAGAGCATTTGCCTAGCATGCAGGAAGCCCTGGGTACCATCACCTCCTCAGAAAAAGAAAGAAAGGAGACACACAGAAATACAGGAAGAATTGCACATGAATAGAGGATCAGGGAAGGCTTCCCTGAGGGTGTGATGTTGAAGAAGATGCTGGAAATATGAGTAGGCTTTTTATGTGGAGGTGTAAAGTAGCTAGAGAAGAGAGAAATCCATTCCAGACGGGGAACTGTATGTGCCAGAGGCTTTGTTGTTTGGTGGAACATGGTGAATTTGATGGAACTGAAGAAGCTGGAGCAGAGAAGACGGAGAACTGTGTAGGCTGTAGAGGAAGCAGATTGTGTGGTCTTAGTCTAAGAGCAAAGGGGAAAGAATGGAGAGGATCCTGGGAATATGGAGGGAAGGGAGTGGAGCTGAGACTGATGGCTCCTTCATTGTACTTTCTTAGATAAGCACTGTCTTGACCTTCTCAAGTGTTAAGAGTGTGGGTTTATTCATAATGAGAGTGAAAATTACTTACATGGCTGGATAAACCATGTGAAAACACCTACCACATTTCCCTGAGCTTTTCCAGGGCAAGGTTGTAGCTTTTCTTTCTTCCCTATGTGCCACCAAGCTAAAGATGGAGCCTGGGTGACCTCAGCATGATTTCCTCTGTTTGAGTTCAACAAGCTCTACCTTGGTTCTGTCCTGAGTAGCACATACCCCTGACACCACTTAATTTTGTTTTGTTTCCCACAGAGAGTAGGGACTGGTTTCCCATTGCCATGACGACTGCCATTAAAGGAAGCAGCCAAGTGATGCCAGTTGATAATGGAATCAAAGTGAGTACTGCCTTGTCTCCCGACTCTGGCTTGCCTGGAAGGCCGCTTAATTAGAAAGGAAAAGGCAGGGAGTTGAGGGAGGCAGAAGAGACCCATGGAGGAGGCAGGGAGATCAGGCAGGTTTTACAGGGGAAGGTGCTTTCAGTTCAGTAAACTAGGGCTATTGGGAGGCATGTTACTGCAGAGCCATCTGCACAGCTGCCCAGTGAAGTGTGTTTGGAGAAGTGAGCCTCCCAGCCCAGGACAGTAGAGGTGGGGCAGTCCAAGAAAGCTGGAGGTGCACATTGCTTCCATGGGAGCTCCATGGTTTGACTCTAACCCAGTCTTTCTTCGTGAACCAGGGCAACAGCTTTGCCCCTCCCCCAATGATAGCTTGCCAGATAATATGCAGGTCACCCATTAAATTTGAATTTCAGAAAAGGGGTGAGTACATTTTTAGTATGTGTTGCTAAATACGGTAACCATACTCCAGAGCAAATTTGGCATTATCAGGAACATTTTGGTTTTCACAGCTGGGAATGCCCTGGCCCTAGGTCCTGTTCTCTACCAGGCATGGAGCTCACAACATCCATCACTGTGCAAGACTCTGTTAATCTCAACCATATTATCAACAGGGTGTATCTAACCCTGAATGTTAATACTGTCCCTTTACCAAAATGCTGGGGACCAGAAGTATTTCGGATGTTCTCTAGATTTTGGAATATTTGCATATACAAAATGAGATATCTTAGGGATGGGCCCCAGAGCTACACATGAAATTCATTTATGCTTCATTTGCACCCTATTCCCATAGCCTGAGAATAACTTTATACCATATTCTTGTGAACCTGCATTTAACTGTCACATGAGGTCAGGTGTGGAATTTTCTACCCATGGCATCAAGTTGACATCAGAAAGTTTCAGATTTTTGATTCTTGGATTAGGGATGCTCAATCTGTACTGGTAAAATTGGAAAATCTGCTGTAAACTAATGCTAATGTACCCATGCCTACCATGCCTCTTCTAGCTAGTCGTATGTGTATATCCTCCTCTTGAGTAACTCATTCTTACTTCTTTTAAATTGTTTGTTATGCATGTTTGGGCTTCAGAGGAAAAGTGGGGGCTGTGTCGCTTAGCTGTGTTGTCTGGAACAAACTTATATGGTACTGTATTATTATTTCAATTCTATTTTGAAAGCCTAATGACATCTAAAGAGGAATATATATTTATAATAGACTTTTATTCAGGCATAAAGAAAAATGAAATTATGTCATTTGCAGGAAAATGGATGAAACATGAGAACATTATATTAAGCAAAATAAGCCAAGTATAGAAAAACAGGGGACATCTGTTTTCTGTTTTATGTTGAAGCTAGAGAGAAAAAAAAGATGATGTGGATCTCATGAACATGGAAGGTAGATCAGTAAATTAGATAAATGTGCCAGGGAAGAGGGACACTTAAGTGAAATGAAATTGGCCAAATCATATTGTTATATTGTGTGCATGTTCAGATATGTGAAAATCTCATTCTATGTATCATAGTAATGGACCAATAAAAATTTTAAAAAATAGTACAAAAAATAATGGGAAAAAACATACCAACCCTAAACCTGGTGACCTTTTATCCCTCATTCTGCCCAGCATGGTGATTTTCAGAAGAATTCACTGAGTTAAGGAGGGGATGCGAGCTTCTGGATGAAAACTTGGACAGTCTGGACTCCTCACTGTGCCTTTACTATTGCCATGTCTGGAAGGCCTTCTCTTTCACTCTCTGTGAGTTACTTTATCTCTCCTTCACTTTGTATATCATGAAGTGGCCTATTATCTTTGTCTTTTTTGTTTCTTCTCCAAAGTTTGTATTAAATTCAACTGAAGGAAAAAGCATATCATTTTGGTGAAGGATGTGTTGGGACAATTTGAAAGAAGTGGAAGCTAGTGTTCAGAGTGAAAACTTTTCATGGGAATGTAGGCTGCCCCCAGGATTTTGGAAGTTTGCATATATAGACTTGACCTCTGGACTGGTAGCAGAGACTAGAAAGTAGAAGCGGTGGCATGTTCATTATCTAGGTGGAAGGCCAGAGACCAACCACAGGGCTGCAGCTTCTCTGTGAAAATTGTATGTTTTAGATGTGGCTGCCTGAGCTTCTGATTAGACATCTGGTTTGAGGTGATGGCAGGTAAGAATAGGGGAATAGACTTCTAATTATAATTTTTGCCATTTTAGAAAACTTGTGAACCATCTGCGGTTCCAACTTTCATTGTTTGAGGCATCAAATTGTGGCGATGAATTAGCTTTTATGGATGAATTCTAAGGAATTCACTGATTTTACTTAATAAATAAAATAAGTGCATTTATAGATTATAAGCACCATAAGACAGTGATAGATAAGGTGCCCTGAGATTTGAGTGTAGAGATCCCTTATGTTTGGTTAGCATTGCCCAGATATACTTTATTGGAAGGGATATACTAGAGCCAGGTTGAACTTAGTAAGTGCTATATATTGAGCCTTTTTAGTACTTATTATGTTAAGTTTTTAAGATTCTAAATATTTTTATCATTTCTCAAACTATATTTTCTCCTATTTTTGTGTACTTTACAATATTACATGACTGGTATTATATAGTTCCTTATCTTCTACCTCATTTGTCATATTCATGGAGATTTTCATTTGAACTGTTCCAAAGGAGCAGACTTGTGTACTTGTAAAGGTTTGAGAAGAAACTCAGCACAGATGGTGTGCTTGACGAACTAAAAGTTCTGAAGAATGTGACATCAGGACCCTGTAGGGCACCATACTGCCTTTACCATCCAAGTACACCAAAGTACTAAATTTCTGGGAGGGCAGAGGATGCTGCAGATTTTTGTTTTCCACTCATTGATTTCTTTCATTTCAGTTGGTGATGACTGAGCTGCTTCAGATAGGAAAAACTCTGAGGCTCTCCTGGAATGAGTAATCAGCTATCCTGACTACAGACTGAACCTCTCGCCCCTGAGGATCCCCAGCAGTAGCACAAGGAAACAGAACCTGTCTTGGCAATGGGAGAATTGAAATACCAGTGGAGTGGCTATGGAGTCGGAGAGCAGCACTTAGGGTGAGGGGACTAATTCTTCTGGTGAGCTGTTAACTGTTCTCCTATGTTGTTTAATCTAGAATTAGGTGTGGTTTCTTCTTAATTCATAAATATATTGTGCACAGCTGATTAATTTCCTCCAGAAAAATTGAACGTCTTTTAATAATTCCTATTTTTAAAAGTTTGTATCTTTAAACAGCAAGGCATATGAAACCAATTACTCAGATTTTGTTCCTTGCATGGTGTGGCTCTTATTTAAAGCTCAAGTTCCATTTGTATGTTTTTTTTCGTGTTGCCGTACCCATTCTTTACTCTTTGTGACTGAATTCATAATCAAAAATTTCTTTCTCGTTGATCTTTGTAAATAATAATAATGATGATGATAGTAGTAATAAGCATAATATCTCTAGTTTTAAAAATACAGAGTTGTTTGAGGAGCAAGCTAATTGCTACTTCATGTTTCTAGGGGTGTCCTCTCTGGTTGGCCCACATGGTTTTTGGTCCTTTGCCAGGTGATGAAAAGTCAAAGAACAAGTTCATGTGAGAGAAGAAAAGTAGTGTATTTGAAACCTACATGTCCAAGGAGGCAGTTTCAGAGGGCTTAAAGAGAGCATTACTTATCCAGGTGAGTAAAAATACTGGTTTCTATTCCCTGAATATGTAGAACTAAAGCAATTCATTGTTCACTTAACTGTTTTTTGTCTGTGCTTTCTGCTTTGAGATGATCACATAATTGAGATAAAAAGAGCTTAGAATTTTGGTTGCAGAATTATACTTACATAGAGATAGGGTAAGAACAGTATTCTGCCATGGTAGTTCTTTTTGCTTTCTTTTAACATTTGCTTTTGAAGTGACTTTTTGCTGACATTAAAACAAAACAAAAATCTGATCAGTATAATAGCTGTCATTCCCAGGAATTGATATGTGATTTTTCCTGGTCTGTGACATCATAAGACTCTGCAGCCAGAGCCTCCCCAACATGTGGGGACAGTTGTACTTTGTAGATGGGGAGAGGAATTGGTTCCAGATATGAGCTCACCCTGCGAAATGTAGAACACTATAAATAAGATTTTCAGGCATGGTGGTGCACACCTGTAATAACAGTGGTTTGGGAGGCTGAGGCAGGAAGTTTGTGAGTTCAAAGCCAGCTTCAGCACCTGCGAGGTGCTAAGCAACACAGTGAGACCTTGTCTCTAAATAAAATGCAAAATAGGGAAATAAGGCTGGATATGTGGCCGGATATGTGATATGTGGTTGGGTGCACCTGAGTTCACTCCCCAGTACCAAAAAAAAAAAAAAAAAAAAGATTTTCATAGAGAAACAGAGTCAATCTGCTTTTAGATATAAACTTTCTTTTGTAGTTCTGGTTGGGTGAGGTAAAAAATAACTAGTTAAGAAAGGATATTTTAATGTTGTTGGAGAAAATTAAGTATATTAGATATAATTTGAAACATTTGTTCACTATTGTTTGTCATGTTCTTCTTTTTCTTCTCACAATCCAGAGAAAATAAAGTTTCACTAAGAGATTTTGTGGTTTTCAAAAACAGGAATAAAACAATATTTTTCAATGCCTTGACTAATAATCTGACATTTCATTGGTTTGTCCTAAGTACAGACGAAAACACTGCAGTGACCAAAGAAATCTCTTTTCTGTATTTGGAACTAACCAGCAATAACACATGATTATGTACATGCAGTTTTGAAGTTGTTGTTGTTTGGTTTTTAATAAATAGTTCTCACATCAAAGGACACATGGCATTTATTTCTTCACAGGTGCAGTATTGGGAAGTTGTTATGGAAGATGTTGGGAGAGATGAGAACATGATAGCCATGTTCAGAAGGGGCTTCAGTTTGGGGCAATGACCAAGGAGAAATGAGGAGGAAGATTGTAGAATTGGCTGTTTGAGATCCCAGAAGCACCATGTCAGAGTTCCTCCTGCAGTAGAATATTGGTATGAATTATTATTTATAATAATAATTATTATTATAAGAAATCCAAATCTAGGAAGACACAGGTCAGGATGGAGTAGTTTCTAGGACCCTTTATTAAGCATGAAGTCAGCTGGAAAATACGTGGGTGAACATAAAGGATGAGAAGAATAAAGGTGACATTTCAGTGCAATGCCCAGTCATTCAGAAGGGAGAGGTGGCACTTACAACATTAATAGCAGAGGCAATAGTAGAAGGTCAGCTCTACAGTTAGTAATTAATTAGCTCAAGAAATGTTTCCTGACAACTTAGTAAACACACATATACCAGTGAGCAGGATAGGGGTAGTAGGCAGAAATAACTATAGTAATGCAAAAAAAAATTTTTTTTTTTGATCCAAAGGGTAAGAAGGAGTCAGCCATTTTAAGCTTTTGGAGAGGAATATAGGCAGAGATCAGCAAGTGGAAATAGGGTTGATGTTTTGAGGAACAAGAAGGAAGGCTGTTGGAACAGAACTGAACAGAGGGAATTACTACATGGGAATAGTGGAAGAGTTAGCATCCAAGTCAGGGAGGGTCTCTAGGAGTTGAATTTTATTCAAAAAACAATGGGAAGTCATTGAAGGGTATTAAGGAGGAATAACATGATCTGTTTCATGTCTTAAAAACAACTCCCTGCCTATTGGGAGATGAATAGACTAGTGTACCACTTAGGAAGCCATTAAACTGAACTAGGCAAGAACATTCAGAGACTTAAACAAGGGCAGTGGCAGTGAAGAGGGAGGTAAATAGGTGGGTATGGAGTGATTGCTGACAAGACCTTCTGACAGATTAAATGTGGAAAGTGAGGTAAAGGTAGGAAGCCAGGCTGGCTCAATGGATGATGTAGTCATGAACCAAGACAGGGAAGATGGAGGATTAGAACATGGTGCTCACCTGTGGGGAGGCAAGGAGGGCAGATGGATAAATGAGTGAAGAGGCCCTGGTGTGGACTATAGCAGGCACATAGGCCTTGTAGTGTTTGAGTGCTGGGATTCTAGCCAGCCCACTTTGGGCTTGAATGTAGTGTGACTGCCAAATCAGTATGTGGCTTGGAGGACACCTATGGAAGTGGTACTTGAGATTGCTTTTATTATTGTCAGAGGAGCATCTGTTATTCAGCTCAGGTGGTTGCTGCCATGTGGAGATAGCTGTACACAGCTGCTTATAGATTTTAATAGTTTTTTAAGATAATCTGGAATACATATTTTTATGTATGAAATTCTTCAGCATGTTCTCAAACTTCCCATAAGTCAGATAAAACATGTTTGTGATTGCCAAGTTAGACAAATGGACCCAGTTATGTGTTATTTTTCTATAGTACCATTTGGTTCCTCAGGCAGGCAGGGTGAGAAGGACAAGCTGGAGTCAGTTGAGGGAGGGCCTTCCTTGTTAAGTGTAATAGGAAGAGTGTACTCAAAGCTCAGGGTTTGTGAGGGTAAGAAATGATGGCAGGTAATATCACCTAGTCAGTGAAAAAAGGAATTAACCATCATGGGAAGATAGCAAATAATAAAAATTTGGCCAGACTATCACTTGGAGGTTTTAGTGAAACTGAAGGACTGTTGAAGTGGAGTTTCTACGGTGAGTGAGTTGGAAGGATAGAAGATTGTAATCAGAAAGAGTGATGTTTGGCTTGTATTTGGAAGTAGGGTTATTAGTGGTGATGACAGAATACAAATGGTGTACATGGGAAAATGGCTGGGGTGGGTGGAGAACATACCTGAGATGATGGACTTGGGTTGCTCAGTCATTGATGTGTACGGGAAGGCCCCCCAAAATTTATATGAGTGGGGATAGAGGGGTAGTCAGTGAGCTACCATCAGCACACTAGTGAATTGGGGCTGTGGCTAGAAAGTTTGAAGAGGCAACAGTAAAGAAATGTACCAAAGAAATGACATTAACTTCCAAGGACCGGGAGTTTTATGAAAGTGAAAGGAGTGAAAAATAATTTTAAAGCCATGTTATGAAAATAAGGAGGAGACAGTCTTCTCCTGGTCCCTGAGAGCACTCAAGGAAAGTGGTGACATCAGGGGACAGCTAAGTTTGAAGTCAGTATGGAGTTGCAGGAGCATTAAGAGCAAAGATGGAAGATATAGTATTCTTACTGGTTAAATTTCAGTACTAGAGGAGGGTTTAGGAGACAGATGAGAGATGGAGGACTGGGTGAGTTTAGGAATGGTTAGAGAAACAGGAGAATAAGTCTTACAGTTCTCCAGTTAAAACAGAGCTTGCACTGGATATGTCTTCTAGGCAGATTTTTTAAATTATTATTTTTAGAGTTACACAACACTAGAGTGTATTTTGACATGTTATATATTCATGGAGTACAGCTTACTCTAATTAGGATCCCATTCTTTTAGATGTATATGATGGGGAATTTCACTGGTGATTATGAACACAGGAAAGTTATGTCTGATCCATTGTACTCTCTTTTCTGTTCCCATCCACCCTCTCTTCCTTTTATTCTGATGTAAAGTTTTTGACAGATTGTGCTACTAGCTTCTCTGCAGGCTGTAGGAACCACCTTGGTCTGATATTGGATTCTGTTGGAGCTTTCTCTTTATTATTGTGATCTGAACTCTTAGGGGTTCTGTTTTTAAGGTACAGTTCTTAATATTTTTGCTTCAATAAAATTCACAAATGTTATTTTTAACACAATTTCTAATCTTTCATTTTTACATATGAATATATGGGATAGAGAATTATGAGTAAAATATTTAACATCTTTTTAATGTCTTTTAATAGAAACTCTATGTAAACTTGAGAAATATGTCCCTTTCCCCTAAGCCCAGCCTTGGCCTCTCTAAGTGCTCTGTAATTAAAGGCACAAGTAAAGGCACATTTAAGCAGGGGGTATTTTTTATTTCTTCATTTGCAAACCATTCACTGAATTGGAATGGGTAATAAAATAATGGGAGAAAAAAAAATCCCTCAGGGTAGAGAGAAGTACATGGACTTAGAAAAATGCAACTGTTGAAAATGTAATTTCAGCAAACTTTCATTTCCACCATTCGGCCTGCGCAATGGTTTCATTAATGAGGTTCTTGGCATAAAGTTAGCTAGAAGAGATCGAAATAAAACACACAGACTCAGTTACCTTATTTCTATTGCCAGGTCCGAGACGGCTCCCCTCTCTGGCTCCAACCTCTAACCGCCCAGCAGGGCAGCAAGGATTACTCAGGGCTAGCAGGAGAGAGAGAGAGTGAACACGCCAGGGAGTAGCCTTTTATTGGGGAACAAGAAATTCAGGGGATAATTCCATCCAATGAAGGTTGAGGGGGGACTGCACTCCAAGGTCAGGGTCAGTGATTGGGCCCCCGGGGTCAGTGGTCAGTCACACCCCAACACGGACGGGTTCTCTCATCAGGAAAGGGCTGGGAAAGTTCCGACACAGCCAGAACGCCTCAGACCCTTAACAGGAGCCGCCCAGTCACGTGTCAGGATGGCTTCCCACATTCATTTTTTTTTTGGAATTCTTGTATAAATTACTGCTATCTGCATGAAACTTTGATATGAAGTTATATTCTTTATGACACAAGCTAAACAAAAATTCACAATTATTGGATTTAATGTCTTTCTAAGTTTCTAGTTATAGCAACACTTAAAATGAACTCTCCCATAATAAGTCCATGCCTCTGTGTGTGTGCAGACAGTTGAAGAGCAGTTCCTTGTCATGCATCTCTGGAGAGCAGAAAAAGCTCTAGAGTTATGGCTTCCTCTGTTAGGTTGGAGCAGGAGAGGGATGGCTGCTTCTAAGGTCACACACTCACCCCCTTAGCTAGGGGGAATGGAGGACAAGTCAATCAAGGCTCCTCCCTGGTGCTCAAATTACTGAGGACATGCCATAGTCTCCTGGAATGTTAGGGCATTTTACTATACTTTTAAACTATTGAAGACAATTTAAAGAATTAACTCTCTAATTTACTGGCTGCAAAAACTAAAAATTATATTGATGTAGTGATTTACTATTTTCAAAGTACTTTTACACAGTGAATTTTTTTTTTCTTGAAAATATCCTGTGAAGTAAAAGGATGATTATTCCTTTCACAGATAGGGAGCACTGTATCGCTGAGTCTTGCCAAGTCACACAGCAGTTCCTCACTCAGCACTCTCTTGGTGTAAGGCTCTTGGTGTTAGAATTCTCTTCTTTCAGTTTTGAAAAATAGCGGGACAGGATCTCCTTTAGGAATGCCAGTTGTCTGGTCCTCAAGATGCTCTTGCAAGTGGGCAAGGCTGATCCTCAAGTGGTCCATGCAAGTGGGCGAGGCCTGTCTTTAAGGGGTCCATGCCAGTGGGTATGGCTCCTTGCGAAGCTTGTCCAGCAAAGCCTTGACCCTGGGGAGGGTGGTGGGTGATTGGGCTCTATGGCAGCAGACCACCTGCAAAGGCTGTCACCCTCCTGAGAGTATGGTCACCTCTGCCTTTGCCCTGGTCTCATCCTTCTCCAGAGTGCCTCCACCACATGGGCCCATTCCCATTCTCTGCACCTTACTCCTGGGGATAAGAAGAGAACTCTTTGTTTTAATCAAAATTAGCATTTGTTTGGTACATAAGCTATAATTTACTGAGGATGGTGTGATACTTCTTCAGGTCCACAAAGACCTACCTAGAAATAAAGATTCTTTTCAAACCTTTTAAAAAATGTAGGTTGTGTACCACACTATAAGCAAAAGTCTGTAGTCTGTAAATAGCTGACACTGGCTTCTGAGAAATGGATGACATTCTTCTTCCCCTTACAGATTTATAGGGCATCAACCTTGTTTGAAACCATCTGATATGAAGCACAGCTGAGCTCGGACTACAAACTCTCACTCTTTGACCTGCAGTCATCATCCTACCAGTCCTTGCAGCAGATGCTCGTCAGCCTTGGTGAGAGCAGTTTTTTATGTGCTCACTGTCCCCAAGATGTTGACCACAGCTCTGATGAAGTATGATTTGTTGTCACAACAGACTCTGAAGGCAAAATCAGCAATCAAACACTCCTCATTAATTTGATAAAGATTGATAGAACACCTGCTGCATAATTAGTGCCAGCCCTTGGTATAATATTTAAGATGCTCAAAGGCTGTCAAGCTATCTAAGTCACTAATTTCAATACTGGATGATTGGCAGCAAGGTATAGCAACTCTGGTGCTGGGAAGTATGGCAGTCCAGCCAGCAGACTTGGGAGACAGAGCAGGTGTCCCTGGGAGAGAGATGCCTGAGCCAGGTGTCCCTGACCCTCACATTTCTTCCCTTCATCCCACCTGGCTCAAGCCTCTGACCAAGGGGAAGAGAAGACACAGGCCTCTTCCATTTCCCCAGCCTTGCAGGCTTCCATGTTGCTGTTCAGTGAGTGCACCCTCTTGGCCTGTCCTCTAGGCTGTGACTTTCATGGTTGGGGCTCATTCTCCCAGGCTTGAATCATCTGGGGAACTGGGGCAGCCTGCAGCTCCCCTCATCCGGTCCCTAACTGTCCCATTCTAGCTCCTCTGTCACCTGCCTCTACCCAGAAGATATTCACTGTAACTAACAAAGTCTTTGAAGTTGAATGTTGAGGACTTTTCAATAACCTGCCCTTTCCTGTATGTATAGGAACACTCAAGTTTCCCATTGAAAAATAAAATGTACTCATTGCCCAGGATAATAATTTATTATCTATTATAATCACAGTTTTAAAGTCTGTCTAGCACTATGGGACTTATTTTCCAATGTGCACCGAAACTGTCCCAGCTGTTCCCATTAATAACTTAATAAAGTAAAAAGTATATTTGCATACACTCACATGAATCCCCACTTTGTGCCAGTGCCTGAATGGTAGGCAGCAAGGCATCCTTGACGTGCCACCACAGCTATGGCATCTGGTCTCCTGCCTCTACATGCTCTCTCCACGGACCCTGGTTCTGGCAGCTCTTTCATGTTCATATTTACCACGAGATTCAGTACTCTGCATTGCATTGCCTCACTTACAAATAAGCCTTTCTGGAAGTCATTTGGCTTTACATTTTTTGAGCTTTCACATCCATGAATCAGCTTGTAAGCTACATTATTGACTAGCTTCCTAGTCAATAGGATTAGAACCCCACTTCCTCTAGGAAGCTAGTCTATAATGTGGATTGAAAGACTGGAGAAAAGCTTGAAAAAAAAAAAAACAATTTTAAAGCAATAGAGACTGCAGAGGTTGAAACCCTTTGCTCAGGTGGACTAGAAGAGAGAAGAGGAGAGGGAAGCGTGCTGGGGCCCATCATGGAAGAAAGTGCCAGCTTTAATATTAACAGTGCCACTTACCATACAGTGGTGCTTCAGTAACACATTCTCAGAGTGCTTCACTTGATTTTGAAAGTAGCCCTTTGTGATAGGTGAGACAACTAGTACAATCCCTCTTTTTGAGACAAGCATAGTGAAAAGGAAAAGGGCACCCAGCAAAGGACAGGCACATGTGTAGGCATGGAGGGTCATCGTGGGACTTGGGAGGTGGGGCTGGATGATATGATGCACAGAAGGGGCCACATCTAGGAGAGAGGAGCCAGGAGATGGGTCCTACAGATTAGAATGCAAGTGAATCAGGGAAGCTGATGAGGTGGGAGGTATTGGGGGCTAGGTCAGGGAGCCTCTTGGAATGAGGAGCAGAGTGGGTCATGCTCCCAACTACAGTGACTCTTGTGCTGCCTGCAAGACAGGAAGCCCCAGTGACTTAAGGTGTCATGAAATCAGTCTTGTTGGATCATAGAACAGAGCTCTGTGTGTGAACCCTGCTCTCACTGGTGATCAGAAGAAGAAATGGATGCTAAAGTCTGTCGCTCTTGGGGAGAAGAGGCAGTGGCATTTGTGCCTAGGACCTGACAGTAATGCCTATTGTCCTTGATGGGGCTCACTCACCAGGAGGATTACCCTGAAGTAAAAGTAAATGCTTCAGCATCTCTCTGCTTGGGACATGGTACTTTCTTCTCAAAAGGAGCACTTTGGTCTTATGTGCTAAAACTTCAAGAGAAAACAATTAGTAATTAGTATATTAGTGAATAAATGAATATTGTGTCAGGTACAAATCTTGTGCCAAGCTGGGAGCACCAGGTGGGTAGGATAGACATATGACCCTTATTCTAGTGAAGCTCAAGATCCATCAGTCAAAAAATCTCTAACATAGAAATGCACAGACAACTAATCATAAGTCTGATTAAAAACCATAAAGTAAATATATAGGGTATGTTGAAGGAGTTTCAAGAGATCAAAATGGCTTCCCTAGGGAAATGACTTAAGACTGTCAGTTATCTCTACTAATGATGGAGGACAAAGGCATAGATCATCTAAAAACTGGTGTCTGGTCTCAAATCATTTCCCATGTTTAGATTGCAGTCTTAATACATTCATACATTAATATACTTAAGTGTCTGCCATTTCCCTTCATCTTGGGTATTTCCCTATTTTGTTCTATCCAGACATGCTGTTAAGGTAAAATAAACAATCTGTGATATGCTTTGATATCCCAGGAAAGTTTGATCACAGCATTCTCTAATTAGAGTGTTATTTAATATTATAAGTCCTGGGCTAAGATAAAGGAAAAAACAGGAAGATGGTTACTTAAATACTACAGTGTCATCTAAGATGTCCCTTGCATTTGAGAAGTTCAGTCAATATGAGGTTCAGAGGAAATGAACTTGGAGTAAAACCATAGTGCAGGTGATTTTTGACATAATGCTTTCCATTTACTTTTTTATCCTTAGCACTTTTATATCATCCAAAGCCATATTTTACAAGTTAATGTGTTTTATCATAAGCTGGGCTCTTATTCAATTTTCTACCTCTGAAAATGTTTTTAAACCTCAACTTAGAGAATAAGAAAATTGAAAAGCCAGATAGAGGTGTTGAGCACAAAAAGGTATAAGTTGGTTACTATTAGAAAGTATTAGTGGTTTCAGCAATAGTTCACATTTTAACAGAGAATATGGACCACAACTAAGTTTACACTTTTGCCTAAATTTCTTTACTTTCAGACCATTTGTGTTTTTAATTGTCATTCCAGTGTCCAGTCCCTTTGTCCTACCTCATCTAAGTGTCCTAACCCAATACGATTTGTCCTTACCATTCTTCAATCATTTAATACCTTGTTTTCATTAATATCCTGCTCGCTTGGCACAAGGTTCATCCTGATAAAATATTCATTTATTCACTAATATACTAATTACTAATTAATACCTTGTGTTTATATTGGAACTCCCTAAATAAACAGTGACCTACTGTACAGTAATTATTAGGGTAGAAATAGTAAAATGAGAGAAAAATAAATACATATTGAATAAAAGAAATGTGAGGGCTGGGGTTGTGGCTCAGTGGTAGAGCACTCACCTAGCATGCATGAGGCATTGGGTTCAATCCTCAGCACCACATGAAAATGAAATAAAATGGTATTGTATCTACCTATAACTAAAAGTATATATTTAAAAAAAAGAAATATGAGATGAACTGTTGTTCTAATACCCAGGAGATCATGCCTTTCCACAGTAGCATAAGCACTTAGAAAATCGAAAATAGCTTTATAAAAGGCAGACTTCTCTCTTTTTATAATTCAATTCATCTTTATGTGCCACTCTAGATCTTCCTGGAACTAAAACAAAGTGCAGAGTGAAAACTTTAAAAAGATCACTTAGTGTTAATCTGGGATTTATATCTGTATGGTGTCCTCACTTGCCCAGCCTGTGCCTTGTGTTGAGCCATAGTCAAGCCTCAATTGCCACATCCTCATCTCTCTGAGAAAGATTGGGTAGTGGTCTGAGTTTGGCTTTCATTTTCAATCCTTTTACCTATTTAGTCTGGCAGCTCTTCCTGGAGTTTCCCAAAGCACTACTTATTGACCCTTTTATACTATTGCCTTATATATATGCGTTATGCCTGGCATATGTTTACTTAAAGAGCCTCCCCATAAGTCAGAGAGGCAACAGGTACTGTAGAAAGAGAAGACCCAAAGGAGTAGTGTACCTGGCTTCAAGATGACTCGGGAGTACCTGGCACTCAGGTATGGGTCTGAAGCAACAAAGCTGAGGAGTGGACACCCTTTCTCCTGCAGCTGGCTGTTTTGCATTCTGCTGAAGTTTTCTTTCTTTGCATTGTTGGACATGACCCCTGCAACGCCCCTGGCTTGCCTTTCTGGTCACCGTTGAAGATTTTGACCATGATGAGCTCATACTCATAATGACTTGTTGAATTGTTTATATCTTTTGTTTGTTGCACACCTCATTGGCTTGCTTACCAACACCATCTAGATATGTTTTTTTTTTTTTTTTTGTAACCAAAGCAGAACACATTTCAATATCCTGGGACTTTATGTAGAGTGTGTACTGTTTGTTATATGAACATAACCTACTTTGTTTTCTCATATTAACAATTGCAAATCTACTTTGTTTTAGTGGAGCTATTTTGGTAACATATAAGTAATTTTAGTTCTATTCAGGGAGTGAATTTAAGGTTTTCATGAATCAGTTTGAGCTTTATTTCATATCAATGATAGATCCATTTTAATTTATTTAAATAAAACATTTCCTTTTTCTTTCACTGTATCTTCTTAAGCCTCCCCCAACTCCCTCGTTTCTGAAACGATTATGGATTTCTTTTTCCCTTGAAAGCAATGGCTAACTGAAAATGGGCACAGAGCAGTGTTCCAGAATGTACTTTCAGAATAAGTGTATTGGGCCTGAAGAAGTGAAGGCTGTAGGGTTTGGGCTTTAGGCATCTGCAAGATTGAAGGGGACAAGATGAAGAGGGGGTAAGGTGAGGGAAGAGTGAACCTCTGTACCTGTTCTACCAGAGAAGGTCCACTTCGTCCTGTTTTATGTTTTATTTTTTATTATTATTTTTTTTTTTAAAGAGAGAGAATTTTAATATTTATTATTATTATTTTTTTTAGTGTTCGGCAGACACAACATCTTTGTATGTAGTGCTGAGGCTCGAACCCAGGCTGCATGCATGCCAGGCGACCGCGCTACCGCTTGAGCCACATCCCCAGCCCCTCTGTTTTATGTTTTAAGATACAATATAAGATCATGTTTACATTAAACAGATACATGAGGTGGGATGGAAAGGGAGAGAAAAGGGAAATTGCATGGTAATGGAGGGAGACCCTCATTGTTATACAAAATTACATATAAGAGGTTGTGAGGGGAATGGGAAAATAAACAAGGAGAGATATGAATTACAGTGGATGGGGTAGAGAGAGAAGATGGGAGGGGAGGGAGGGGGGATGGTAGAGGATAGGAAAGGTAGCAGAATACAACAGTTACTAATAGGGCATTATGTAAAAATGTGGATGTGTAACCGATGTGATTCTGCAATCTGTATTTGGGGTAAAATTGGGAGTTCATAACCAACTGGAATCTAATGTATGAAATATGATATGTCAAGAGCTTTATAATGTTTTGAACAACCAATAAAAAAAATTAAAAAAAAAAAAAAAAAAGAAAGAAATGAAAGAGAAAGAAAAAAAAAAAAAAGATCATGTTTACAAGTGACAAAACAAGGTTCCACTTACCTTTAGAGAAAATAAAATTAAAAAGGCTTAAAATCCATTACAAGAAGTCATATAGATAGTGATAGGGCTTTCTTTGCAGTTGCTGGACCTAACCCCTTCAGCCCACAAATAGGGGGAAAAAAATCACTATATGTTTACTAAGTTCTGAGGATCATTATCTCACACACATACCACACTCCACAAAATAGGCAAAAACTGGCCCTTTCTCTCAGGGCAATCTACATTTAAATTTTAGATCAAATGTGTTGAGTGGATTTGCTCATTTCCAATGTAAATAGAGAAAATTTCTATGACAGAATCAGGCTTTCTTATCTTTAAACTAGGGCCAAATAGCTCATAATTACCTTTGTCTCTTCTTTTAGGACATTTGCAGAAAATATAAAAAATATTAACATTCTCATGTAGTAGAGTGTTTGGGTACTCAACTTTAGGGCAACCATGGATTTCTTAAGATAGATGCTATGGATGCATTTCTGTGTATAGTTTTAGGAGCTATTCACCAGCCCTTCTTCTAAGGTAGTCTGTAGACCAAGCTGATGACACCCTACACATGCTAAAGCATTCACCAAGTTTGGTTTTTAAAAATATTTTTTAGTTTCTATTGGGTTTTTTACTTTATTTATTTATGTGTGGTGCTAAGGATTGAACCCAGGGCCCCCACATGCCAGGCAAGCACTCTACCACTGAGCCACAACCCCAGTCCTACCAAATATGTTTTAATAAGACATGATTAGGGAAGAGATACCATGGGGTATGGTAGAAAGACCAGGAAATTTAATGACAGGTAGAGGTAAACAGGAGAAGTGGCTTAGCAACAACAACAACAAAAAAGATAATGGCATAAGCCCTTGGAACCTGTCCCTTCACCAGTAACAGAAAAGTCAAAATAGCCATTTTTCCAGTATTTTTCTACTAGAAATAGTGTGCAGAGAATACCACCTAAGAATCAATTCTTCATAGATATCAGCCATTCAGCCCATAGTGTGGTGTGGTTCATTGGCCTCATGATGACTTGTTTGGCCAGTGGCATAGCCACTGTAAACTGCCATCGCTATATGCCCCTCAGCAGCTGTCACTCTTGTGGCAGTTGTACTTCCCATCCTGCAGAACATCAGTGCCTATGGGGACCTTGTTCTGGGGCTTGCACACATTTGAGCTTTAATACTGGAAGGAGGGAACTGAGCTCATCCAAAAGTATAGGTTCATTGTATCTTTGTGATAGTAAAAGTCTCAACACCTTGGGTAAGCAACTTGCCAAGGGCACTTCCATTCCCTCATCTGGAAATCAAGGGCCTTGGAGACTTTCAGAGGGGCTGTTTCAAGTGGGTCTCCCCAGGAGCATATGTCCAACAGGCACTCAGCAGATGGTGACTCTGCTATTAGATGCTCTTTATTACATGAGATGCTTAGCACCTGCCTGAGTACCTCTGCCCATCCTGCTTTTACCAAACTTCAGCACATGAAGGCTGAGGATCAGGTCAAGTACCTTGCCCTGTTCTGCCTGAGGAAGGACAGCAACCCCAACTAGCCCTACACTCACTGTACAACTTGAAGAGCTGCTTCACATCTGGCCCCATGAGCAGGTGTTTGAGAATCTCATCCAGGCTTTTCATGGCCTCTCTGTTGTTCCTGGGCCAGGACTTGGTGATCACAGCAGAAACAAGGCTGCCAAATTTCTACAAATCATGACATGAGACTCCTTCAGAACACTGATATGAGACTAAAAGAAAATGAATTAAAAAGAAGGAGTTAAAAAGATTTTATTGATTTTTTTTTTTTTTTTTTTTTTTTTTTGTGTGTGTGTGTGGTGCTGGGGATTGAACACAGGGCCTTGTGCATGTAAGGCAAGCACTCTACAACTGAGCTGTATCCCCAGTCCTGGATTTTTAAAAATACCTTTATTTTATTTATTTATTTTTATGTGGTGCTGAGGCTTGAACCCAGTGCCTTGCATGTGCTGGGTGAGCACTCTACTGCTGAGCCACAACCCCAGTCCCCCCGCCCCCTAGGGTTTGTTTTTTAATGACACAATTTAGTACCCGATAGCATTTTAGAAATCTACTTAAGGTAGTTATATAGTGCCAAAAAAAAAAAAAAAAAAAAAAACAGAGGCTACGGATATCCTCCTGATAAAGTTAGGAGGTTAGCCTATTTGAGGCCTGGGTTTTATTCCCAGTGCTGCAAAAAGAAAAGAAAGATAAAGCATAAAATACTTAATATTTCCTATGGTGTCTTCATTTCCATGTGGCCTGGCTCCTTATGTGAGATGCCAGTGATTGAAGATGCACACACGTAGGAACACACCATGACAACCCCAAGATCACTGTCATCTTCTGCATTTCTCTTAGTCTTGTTTGTAATGAAAAATACCAAAAAGAAGATGAGGAGAACTTTACTACATTGTGTACTTTATGTCCTAGGCTGTGATTCTCATAAAGACTGCCCTCAAAACCACAGACACTCCAATCCTCCTTATGATGCTTCACCAAGAAATGAAACATTTTTCTTCTTTGCTTTCACAATTTTGCAAAAAAGTTTTCAGTAATTAGTAAAAAACACAGGGTTAACTAACAACAGATACTTTTTTTGACATTAAAGGACCAAAAAAATCCCAGTAACTAGCCATACATAAAAAATCATAGATTGGACCATGGTAGTGGCTCAGTGGTAGGGTGCTTGCCTAGCATGCATGAGATACTGGGTTGGATCCCCAGCACCACATTAAAACAAAACAAAATAAAAAAAAATAAACAAAAAACAAATAAAGTAAAGGTATTGTGTCCACTTACAACTAAAAAATAATTTTAAAAAAGTTATAGACCATATGAAGCAGATTTATCCCAGGGATAAAAGGACATTTTAACATAAAAAATCAGTTAATAAGCTGGGTATGGTGGCACATGCCCATAATTCCAGCAACTTGTGAGGCTGTGGCAGGAGGATTTCAAGTTGGAAGACTGATTCAGCAATTTAGTGAGCTCTGTTTCAAAATGAAAAATAAAAAGGGCTGGGATGTGGCTCAGTGAAAAAGCACACCTGCATTCAATCCCCATTAACACACACACACACACACACACACACAAATGTTAATACATCATACTAATAGAAAAAAGTAACACAACCATTTTAATAGACACAGAACAAGTATCATACAAAACTCCAGGAACAAGCCAATGATGGCCAATTTCACCACTTTCATAGTCCCAGAATTGCTATCCAGGGTAATTAGATGGAGGAAAAAAAGGTGTTGGGGTTGGACAGGAAGTACTGTCTTCATAGGCAGATAACACAGTCATCTATATCAAAATCTCAAAGAAGATGCACTCTCCAACGTACACCCTGCTAGAGCCAAGAAAGGAGTCTTGGAAGCTGCAGGACACAGAGACAGGTATGGCCCTATTTCTGTATGCTAGTGATGAACAATTCGAAATTAGAATTGAGAAAATAATCGGTTACAATAGCAAAGGAGTAAAGTACTTAGGAATAAATTTCACAAAAGAAATGCAAAGCTCACTATTTAAAAACTGCAAACCCTCATTGAAAGAAATTAAAGACCAAAATAAATGGGAAGACATTCCAGGTTCAGAGACCATGAGATGGAACATTGTTAAGAGGTTAACTCTCCCCAAACTGACCTATGGATTCAAAGCCATCCCTGTCAGAATCCTAGCTGCTTTCCTTGTAGAAATTGACAAACTGATTCTAAAATTCAAATGGAATCCCAAGAGATCCAGAATAGAAACAATGTGAAAAGAGAATAACAAATCAGGAGAACTCATGCTTCTTGATTTTATTACCTACTGGAAAGAAATAGCAATAGAGACATGGATGGATGTGAGGTTAATCCTCTCAGCTGCAGTTAACAGACTTTTTAAAAAGAGTGCCAGCATCACTGAAGGAGTGAAGTATAGTGCTTTCCTCAAATGGTCTGGAACAGCTGGATCTCCATATGCAAGAGAATGTACTTGGACCCTTACCTCATAACACATAGAAAAAGGAATTATTGTTAAGAGCTAACACTCTAGAT